TCCCCTTGCTATAATTTTTCAGGAAATAACTTTTGTAAATGTTAAAATAAAGTGATTTGATCTATTTAATAGACAACACAAACACTATCACGTTTTCAGAAAAAAGATGTTAAGAGAGATGAGTAATATTATTTAGTATTATTGGTGTTATAACACCAGTTTAAATGACATTAAATGTCATTAAATGATAGGTATGATTAAATGAACCTCATAATTTCATCTTTGATTAAATCTATCACATAATATCATATAAAGTGGTGCTCTATGACCACTGATGTTAAATAGTATTATTCGAGATGAGTAACTCGAACACACATGCATGGGGAGGGAGTGAGGGAGGGAAAGAGTTTACTGTAGCTGGTTCGAGAATGCATCCTAGAAGATTGAACACATCACTGCATGAGATAAAAATTAAGTCATTAAAGTTTGTCTGTCAGATAAGGTTACCTGCTTAGTTTCAAGTTTATTTAATTACACGACAAAATCATTAAAGTTGTCTGTCAGATAATAATGGCATATACGAATGTTTATGAGTAAAATGCAAACAGAAGACTTATATTTACCCAACAATCCAAGTGCCAAGAAATGCCAAAGAGACACCATCCGAAGATTTGTTATTGAAGTTAGTAATAATCTGTGGGATTTCTGCCACTGCCCAACAAATTAAACTCGCAATTCCGAAACCAAATGATATTTCATCATTGAGGTTGCACAGACAATCCTTCAAGTATTTTTCAATCCATCTGATACAAGGTTTTTCCTCTTTAGGACAGTAAGAAAGTTTTGAGGGCTTCATATTTATCTCTTCAAAAGTTCGCTAGAATATAAGCTCATGGATGCGGAGAATTGTAGCGGACAAGTCTATTTTATATACAGAATCACAGATAGATGTAACCTCAGAGAGAGAGAGATGCGACCTTCACTAGTATCGACCTAACAGTACGTGGCTAATAAAATCTAGTACTGTAGTACAGATAATTACGAGTGTAAAAAATGAAAACAAAACCAAGTAGGAGCATATTCTTCTGCAACTTGTTCCTATGCGTTCGTTCACATATTAAAATAATTGAATTTTTAGTTTCTTGCAGTGTAGAAGGTTACATTATTACAATTGAAAAAAGATAATGAACTGACAAAACACAGCTTGGTTAATTGTAAACTTGCTAATCCCTCTTTGGTTCCCATAATTTGGCATTATAATTTTTGAAATAATATTTTTTTTCGAAGAATATGTAGTTGAAAAAATTATTTCTTCATTTATTTACGTGTAATATTAATTTATAAAAAATTACATGATTGAAAATAAAATATACAAAAATTATAACATGTTATTTGCATTATATTATTGAAAAAAGCATAATGGAATCACAGGCATATCCAAAAATAAACTCAAGATTTTAATCATGAATTCATGATTAACTGGAAGAAAATTAATTGACATGACTTGAACAACGTGCAAGACAGCATAGTTCAACGCATTTAGAAAAGAGCTTAGTGGCCCAGAAATTGAGATTGTGACATAAATTTTGTCTACTTTCAGTACGACCATCAGTGAAAAATGGAAAACGAATTCAGTCGACGCTTGTATCCAACAAACCCTATCAATTATCAATAGTGTACATCTTGCATTTAGCAACAATTATCTTGTAGATGAAAATGAAATTAAAAATAAAATAAAATAAAATAATTTTATTTATTTTTTGTTTTCCTATTCTCCATTTATGCTACGATTAAAAAAATAACAAACAATATAAATATCGTGTGCTCGAATTTTATCATTGTCTATCAACAAAAAGAAAACGTGATGTACGTATTAAAGAAACTATTCAAACAAGTTTAGCTTTTTGATAATCTAAATGGATAATTGTAGCAGAGGCCCTGAACCTTGCAAACAATAGTAAATTTTCTCTAAACTTTTGATTTGTTGCAATTGTCACCTATAACCTTTTCAAATGTGCAGGTAAGGACCCAATGAATGAAAAACATCTAATTTGCTGTTATTTGATCAAAAAATTGAGTATGATCATATTTTTAATATTTTTATAAAGGGAAAAATAGTAACTTTCAATTTACTAAACTAAATAGTTACATTAATTAAATTACAAAATCAAAAGAAGGGAAAAAACTGTATCTTCTTCCTCTCACCCCTTTCCCAACCTACCCAACCCCCACCCTAACTAAAATTGCCACCACCACCTCTCCCTTCACCCTTCACCTTCCAATCACCCAACATCATAAATCACCGTATTCTTCAAGTAGATATTTCTCAATTTGAATTTTCCCAAATTAGTTCTGCAAAATGAATTCCCAAATTGAATCTGTTATTCCTCATCGAGTCACGCGGTTACTATAAACCATGGGGCCTCAATTGCAATTATCCCTAATCTAAATATATAACTACGCTCCCTAACCTCTTTTTCCCCTTACAATCAAAATAAGCAATTCATCTTTAAGTCAATAATTAAAGAGCCATTTATTTCAAAATTTTCAAATTTTCGTATAAATAAACTTTTGAACTTAGTCGAACATGGTATATCATGTGGTTCAATATTAATTCATAGCTACAACACGTAGCAGTGTAATAACTTTCGTAGAGAACCGTCTAGAGAAGAAAAAACTTGAAACCTGTCTCTCAATCATCCGTGCTTGTCCACACATGACGACATTAATTCCTTCAACATTCATGACAACTGTCCACAAGCTTTTTCATGAAACATACACATCGGACACGGAAAAGTTAATATGATGCACGACCAGTTTTTGCCATTACCTCCAATTTCCTAAAAATACTTGTGAACGGATTATTATTATTATTATTATTTCTTGGAAAATTTTGGGTTAATTTGCGAGGTATTATTTATAAGTTTGATGACTAGAAAAGAAATATATAACGGGTCACCTCACCACTAGTTACTGTCATTATAACGTGCACCATAGTTTGTCATCAACTATTTCTGTACGCAATTGTGAGTTATAACTTTTTATTTGTTTGTGGATAAACATCAAACAAGTTTTTTGAGCATTAAATATTTTTTGATAAGGTATAGAAATTGTATGTATGAGTTCGTGTAAAATTTTCATTATCTGTTGGAGTCTAAACAATGACTACATTCAATGCACCAAGTTACAAGAAAAGAAGCAAACAGGCTACGTGCATGATCAGTAGACGATTCATAAATATTGGCTAGTTTGGATATTCATTGGAATATGTCGGACGCTTTCCGGGAGTTGAACAATGGTAGTACCCGTTCTTTCTTTCTCTCGGTCTAGTAACGAGTAGCAATCACAATTCAGTTCCGTAAGTAAAGCGAAATATAATACCAAAGTACTCCAAAAATTCAAATATAGTCAATCAAGAAGGTAGTAAGACCCTTGTAGAGTTTCCCAATAGTATAGAGCTTGGGAAGCTCGGATCTTGTCAAGATTCAAACATCGAGGAGCACTTCTAGTGTAATCTAGTAGTTTTTTATTTTATTTTATTTTATATAAATTAGTTGTGATGCAAATATAACTTTAATTCTGAGATTAGTTGTGTAGGCTTGTTTTAGTTGTCTGCTATAAGATAACTGTTTTGAAACTTTCGCCATTAAAAAGCTTATCCGACTTTATCTTTGCTATAGCTCACGACGTGTATTGTAGCTATAGTCTTTTACTCAGCCCAGAATGCTTTTGTAGTCTTTCTAATGCTAATGCTTTCTTCCTACATTGCAAACAGGCTACGTGCATAAGTAGACAACATATTCATTAATATTGGTTTGCTAGTTTGGATAATCATTGGAATATGTCTAGGTACAATGTACCATGAGATCCAATACTATAGTATTAACCTATGGATTCTAAAGATTGATTTATAAGATAATTGAAAATTACATTATCTAAAGAGAGATAAACCAAAGAAGAAATATGGTGGAAATAACCATATACAGGTATAAATCTGAAGATCTTTCTCCTCTAGAGCAACACAAAATTCTTTAAAATGTAATTTAATAGTGAACAAGCCATAGTTTTGACCGACAGTGTTACACAACATTGATTAATGAAAGTGCAATCCGAAGAAGTCTACAATTTTGCGGGAGAGTGCGATTTGTGACGCTTAAATGATTTGAGTTTTGATGTGTTCTGATAACTTTTCATAGAAAATAAGTTATGTACAAGTCTTAAACTGTATACCTAAAATCTTGATCTCACGATATTTTCCGTACCTTCATCGTGGATGTTTCAAAAAGGACAACTTAAACTTTTCACATGCCATTTTTGATATTTTTCTTCAAATTATGAATAAAAGACATTTTTCATATTTAACGATCAAAAATAAATAAATTTCCATGACCAAAAATAGAAATGGTAGAAAATGAATTAACTTGCTCATACATATGTCTAGGTACAGTGTACCATTATTATTATTTATACTTATAAAAATGATAAAATAAGATGCATTGTAACTTGAGATTCTAAAAAAGCGTAATTGCAAATAGTATCTTTTAAAAAAATATATATTTTTTCTAAAGAGTTATATTGCTTATATAAATTATTTTATAAGAAATTGTGCTTTGAATTTCTCGTATACCATGAATATTCAAAATTTATCAAATATTTATATATGTGTAGAATTTTCATAAATGGACGATAATAAGATTTGAATTAAAAATTTATGTCTACTATGACACGAAGTTCTTCAAAAGTCTCCAACTCATCCATCAAGGGCTTGAAATTTACAAATCGAAAATATAATGAGGTGACCATTAATTTAATTGGTACCTATTTTTTCGAAATTCATTTTTTTCTCTCCTCTTTTTAACCACACATTCTTTATTAAAATAATATTACACGTAAACAAATTTTTTTTCTTATTTTTCAACCACACACTTTCCATCAAGTTACTATTCTAAAATGCGTTCTTATATAAAAATGACTATCAAACATCCCACTTCATGACTCTTTAATTTTGAACACTCAAAAAACAAATAAAAGAAAATTAGACCATCTATGGTTTTGACCACGAAATTCTTATCTGTAAAGTTCAAAATAAACAGATAAATTAAACCAATTCTAAAACAACTTAAATAAAGAGTGAAACCCACCAAATTGAGCTAGAAAACCAAGGCAGAAATTTTCAATCAAAAAAATAATGGATGTGATTTATGATTATATACTTTAGAATAATGCTATTTGCAGTCGTTCTACGTGGTATACATGTGGCGGATAGTAATTTGTTGTATAAGGCAATAAAAAACTACTACATTAATGTATCAAATTACTAATCGTCACATGTATGTCGCATAAGATGACTACGATAGTTAACGACTGTAAATAGCATTACTCTATACTTTATCTAATGCACTTGCTCAATATATTGTTGGTACATTAAATTCTCAACTATATCCTAGTCAAGCACCCGTCAGCAAATGTACAAATGGAAAATGGTCAACTCCACAACCAATATTGTGAGAAAGATATAAGTACAATTTTCAAGAACGATAAACAAAAATAACATCTAGCAATTCTAGTTCGTTATTTCTATTCTACATAGAACTAATTTGGAAAAAGTTAATTGCAAATAATAATAAAAACCCTAATTAAATCTCACAAAAGCTACTCATCAGCAAATTTTTAATTTTTTAAAAAGCATTTTCTACTATACATAGTCATAAGGAAAAAATGAACTTTGTTCAAATTGTGTGTAATCAACTTATATCATTGCCAATTGCAAAAACAAAGTACTCGCAATGTTCACTACCAATGATTAATTCCATAAGAATATTGTTTTGATCATAACCTTCAATACAAAATCTCAAATTGCTCAATATAATACACAAAGTGCATAAAAATTCACAACTCTCCATTTATAAA